AACCATCCCCTGGAGTCCACTTAAGCTCACACCAACTGCTTCAGTGACTCCATCCAGCCACCTCATCCTCGGCCGTCCCCTTCTTCTTTTGACATCTATTGTTCCCAGCATTAGGCTCTTCTCCAGGGAGTCCTTCCTTCTCATTAGGTGGCCAAAGTATTTGAGTTTCATCTTCAGTATCTGGCCTTCTAAAGAGCAGTCAGGGTTGATCTCCGCTAGGACTGACCAGTTTGATCGCCTTGCGGTCCAAGGGACTCGCAGGAGTCTCCTCCAGCACCAAATCACTTTATGTAGGACGGTCCAAATAAATCCGAACATTTTCTTTCTTTGTCTGGACAAGAACCTTTCTAAGAATAAACAAGGCACAGCGTTCAAAATGGCAGACGCTTAATAGTCATTCTAGTCTGTTAGAAGTCTTTATATTATGCTTCAGGCAGGGAGCCCCATTGTCTTAACTGGAGCCTGGCATGGTTGGGCACGATGAAGTCCATTCACACCAAGAACGTGGGGGAAAGTTAGATTCAGGGGAGTCAAACAGCACAGCATCCCAGCAACCAAGGAAGCAGGCCTATATGTTGTTCCAATAAGCAGCAGATTGTGAGTGAGCTGTATTTGCCTCTTATAGGCCCTTTCAGCAGCTTCAGGCTACAATGACAGAGAGGTGGTTGTGGCATGGTAGTAACTTGACAGGTAGAGTCTTCAAAATCCAAGGATGATAACACAATCTTCTCTGGACAAAGGACAGCATTTCCCTACACCTTTCTGGAAAATGGTTTTATGGCAGTGGGAGTCCTCATAACACACTTTTGTAACTGAGTCCTCTCCCTGATCCATTTATTCAGGAACTCATCCCTGAGGATGCTGGAGTTTTGGACCATGATAGAAAGCAAAGCAATATGCAATGGAATCAGCGTGCCTTCTGGTGAAGGAGTGCACTTAGAATAGGCTTGTTTTCAAAAACACTGCATTACACAATATTACAAAAATATTACTAAAGACTTGTGTACCAAAAAAGATTTTGTAGAAAACACAACATACCCTACTGTTAGCAGATTCATACATATCCCCTTCTACTTTCCTAGCGTAAGCCACCAGATTCTCCATCCGGCGATCTTTCAGTGCTGCTGGGTCAGGAGTTGGAAAGATAGCTTGCACACTACAGAAAGAGTAAAATTAAATCCACTTATAAGCACTGTTTGAAGATCAATATTTACCTTATTTTTATATCTACCAACATCATGCAAAAAGAATTTTTTAAACTCCAGCCCTTAAGAAACCCAATGAAAATCAGTTTCTTCCCAGGATTATTCATTTGAAATCTATGACACATGCTAGAAATGGGGTGGGGGAAGAAAAATAAAATGGGATGACAGAATATTAGAAGAATTTTTAAAATATAGTATCTCTTCACACAGTGATCATTTATTCTTAATTCAACCCTCCAACATTTCATAACATCATCTAAGCCACCAAGCCCAAAAGTACAAGGATCAGTGCTGTGTTTCAGGGAATACACTTGTCAAATCCCATACTAAACTGTGCCCCACTGGACTAATACTTACAGTTTGTGTACTAAGTGATTGCGTAGATCCTGTGTGACATGCTCATGCCAGGTTTTCCTCACCCCGGTACTTGAAGGTGGTGCAGCTGTTGGCATAGAGCCACTGAGATTTCCAACACTGCCAGAATTTGTGCCATCATTCATTAAGGGGCTAAAGAAAAGGCAATTATAAAAGCTCTTGTAACTCTTGATTGCATTCCAGATTACTTCTGCTTTTAAGAACCCCTACCTATTGTTATTAAGAAATTATCAAATAAGTGACTACAGGTAATAAATGCAATTACATTATTTTGGCAAAGGGAAAGTGAAAAAAAATAATGTGGGAGTTATTTGGATACAGGAAATATGAAATTACCTTAAGAAAAAATATTACTAACGATTTGTGTTTTCCACAAGTAGACACTATAAACAGATATAAACACCCCCCAAGCCTTTAAGTATGTCTTACTTTGCTGCCCCAAGTGAAGTTGGAAGAGCAGTTTCTGGGATCATGCTAGCTTGTTGGTCTGTTATTCCCCCTGCAGCCAGATTCATTTGATTAGCTCCTTTGGGAACAAGATTATTCCTCATTAGTTCAAGAGAATTATTAGTTAATTCAAAACTTATACTGTAGGGATAAAGCTGGAAAAAATGTATTAATTCATAAAGTAGCTGTATGCAACCATATATTGGTGTAACAAGTTTTGTTCAAATGTTTGTTACAAATATTAACCATTTTTCACAATCTGGGAGTATAAAAGAGTACCTAATAAAATGAACTTTCAAAATAATGGTTAAAACATGAGACTAGCAGGTACTCTATACCACAAGCAAAATGTTAACCCACACTTTTCATAGGATATCAATCTTCCCAAAATGATTTAAACTGCCTAACTTATTACTGTGCATCTCACAAAGTCTTATACCTGCATGCCTATGCATTTATTTATTGCTTGCTTGCATTTGTATGCTGCTCAATAGCCCAAGGGCTCTCTGGGCAGCTCACGTAATTCTGAGTTGACATGCCTGGGATTATATTGTAAAAACCAACCAATGAGTAGTTGAGTTCATTATACCTAATTATGCTTTAGAAGGAGATTCTAAGAGAGAGAGAGAAAGATTTTAACTATGAACAGCAGTTTCATTTACCTGTTGCACTATTTTTGATGAACCTCCAAGTTCCAGATGAATTTAGTGTAATGCAAAATCCTTCAAGTGAATTAATGTGTTCCAGGTTCTGAACAAGGCTAACATTCTAATTTTTACCGTTTCATTATTGAATGCTCTGCCTATTCCCCCATTTATCCTATAGCAGGGATGCTTAGAGCATCTAACATACATTAAGAAACAACTTATTACATAGTTACTATTAGAATGAAGTTCCCCTCATACCCAGAGCACTGATGGTCCTCATTTGCTGATGGGGCTGAGGCTGGGCAGGTTGTTGGCCTTGTACTTGTGGCTGCAACTGAGCCTGTGGCTGGTTGCCATAGGGCAGGCCAAGAGCTGCATAAGCACGCTGCATGGAACTGGGGTCAATTGGGTTAGGGTTACTTAGGGGAGTAGTTGTTGGTTGACCTGTACCAGAAGCAATTGAGTTCTGTATTCCACCAGCTGGAGATCCAAGGAGTGCTACAAAAAAAGAGATACATACATAAACTGAACTCTGTCAGCAACAATCAACATATACATAAAGTGCTAATGCACAATTAGGGGAAACTGAGGAAAGAACCTATCAATTTCTTTTATTACTTGATGAATTACATTTATATTCTGCCTTTCCAACCAGGAGTACAAAGATAGCTCATACAAGTTCTTCTGTTGACTAACAAAAATGAAGCAGCAGCTAAGTTAGTGGTTTGTCTGTACTGACTGTTTACTCTATGTGACTGACATGCTTTGTAGCCTTTACCACACCTACCTTATAATTTTTACACTGTATATGTTTGGTAAGTGGGGATAGGGGAGCTCTGTAAGTCCCGGGATTAATTTGCCTGAGTTCACTCATGCTTACTAGTCATTTGCATACATCTATCAGTACCCAGAGGAGGGCCTTCTCTGCGGTGGCACCCCACCTATGGAATGAGCTCCCCAGAGAGGTCCGCCTGGCACTGTCGTTATTTGTTTTTCGGCGCCAGGCCAAGACCTTTTTATTTAAATGATATTTTAACTGTTAATTACTGCTTCTATTTATTGGTTTTATAGTGTGGCCGAAATGCTCTGGATTTTTAATGTCTATTCTATATTTGTTTATTTGTTTTGTAAGCCGGCCCAAGGCTTTCTGCGATGAGAGCAGCATAAAAATGCTATAAATAAATATCAGAAGGGTTGTATGATTGTTTTGGCTCTGAGGGCCACATATGTATGTACAGGTACACAACTAAGATATGTGAGTGAATCTCTGGGGAAGGGAATGGAGATTCCTTCCTCCAGTAACCCCGATCCATACAGATTGCTCACTGCTAGCTGCATTAACAAAGGCGTGGTTTCTATGAACATTTTGGGGGAGGGGCCGGAGTGGAGAGTGCAGGTAGCAGTAATATGAGATCAGAACCTGACTTTGGGGAGGGGACACATTTGTCTCCCTAACTGTAAGCCATGAAAGCAAGCAGAATTCACTCTAAATACATCCCTAGTTTTGATATCCCCCAGTGAGCTTTGCTGCTGAGTGAGGGTAAGAAGCCAATCTGGTCCACTGTCACAGCCAGGCATCAATCTAGTACATCCATAGTCTCTTCTGAAGATAAGCGTGACATTAGCATACCAGTGTAAGTCCAGAACTTCAGTTGATGGCACTCAGCTGTTCCATATACAGGGGAGAAAACTAAGCCCTGTGGAACCCATCGTGCAGAATCCGCAGGGTTCGGGTGAGAATCATTTACTTGTTGCTGCCCTTTCCAGAGGAATGAGGCCATCTTCCCCACTCACCAAGGCCACTGAAACTAACTGCCTGGTTAGGGAGGACAGCAGTAACACCTGTTCTTGGGCTGGGAGTATCAGCCTTGCTTCTTTTTGTATCACTCCAGGGACTACCTTGTTTTTATTTATCTATAAGCAACACAGAGCCCTTCTGGCTGAAGGGGGGGGGTAAACATGTTAAATGAATAAATGAATCAACACAAATGCCTTCTGAATACAATGGTTTTATGCACTGCTACTCTGATAACCTTGTTTTACCAGAGCAGATTAGACAAACAGCAAATCAAGCCAAAAGACTGCAAGTACACCTGCCACTGTAGAACTGGAAGAAAACATCCACAGCCTTCATTCCACATTGACTTTAGTACCTCAAGCACACCTTCTGTACTGCAATTTATGCATTAGTCTGACTCACCCTTCCGTCCGTCCGTCCGTCCTTCCTTCCAAGCATTTATATCCTGTCCTTCTGCCAAGTGCATTGTCATGAACTGCCTGGTCTAAAATATCCCCAAATTTCAGCTTCCTACCCTTTCAGTGTGTGTGCATGCACACTTTTTAAATAAAAGTGCCTGGGGTGACAAAGTCACCCTGGAATCTCCACAAGAATAACTGGGCGGGGTGACTTTGTGACCACAAGAAGGGCCCTGAAAAAAGGCACAAAATTTATTTCAGATAATCTTGGTCTCATTTCAAAGCTAAGATTCTAAGTTAAAACCTGCAGCAAACAGAATCAAATTCCACTGAGGGCCAGCCATAGTATGATTTTTAAAGGTAGCAGGTTAAACCATTGTTATGTAGGAAAAAAGCCTGCTACTATTACGCAAATTTTCTCAATTTGCATAGTCTCAGGAAAAATTACAATATAAATTTCCTGTGCTTGCGAATAGCTGAAAGTCCTTAGGCTGATTGTAACCCACTGGGGGGAAATTTATAGTTATTTTATTTATTTAAAACACTATAGGACAGGTATGAAGAAAGCAGCACAATTAAAATTTCAGGTGGAACAAAGGTTTTTAGGATCTTACATTTTTATAGCCCCGGGCAATTTCCCGTGGGGTTATAAAGTCCTTGCAGAAACAACACAGGATCATAGAATAGTAGAGTCGGAAGGGGCCAGAAGGCCACTGAGTCCAACCCCCTGCTCAGTGCAGGACTCCCAGCTGAACCATCCCACTCGGCGGGCTGTCTAGTTGCATACTGAGTGCCTCCTGAATGCTAAGGTCTGTTGGTTTTCTTTCATACAGAGGATACATAAGTTTTTCAAATGAACTGACTACTTACGCTGTTGGTTCCTCTTGTCACTGGCATTTTTCAGTGGGAGACACACAGGGCAATCATGACGTGTACAATTTTTCCAGTGGGATATAATCTGACGTGATGATGCACAATGGGCAACTAGGGTATGGAGAAAAGCCAGAAGTTGATGATGAGTACATTCATTTACAGTCTGTATATTCCCAGTACTGGGATTCAAAGCAGTTTACAACATGAAAAACTTTTTCAATTAACAGAAATATACACAAGGTAAAATATAATAAAATCAGAGTATTAAAATTATATATGTGCCAAAATTTAAACAGCAATAAAAATAAAAGCAGTCAAAACAATATAGACAATAGAACTAGTACAACATGGTCTCATAGGCTAGACTATTCCCAAAGGCTTGTCAGAACATGCAAGTCTGTGCCTGCCACTGAAAGCCTGATAGGGAGGGAGGGTGTCTATGAGGAAGGGCCTTCCACGGCCTTGCTGCAGCCACCAAGAAGACCTTTTCCTGCATTCCCACCAAGCATACCTGTGAAGGAGGTGGGACCAAAAAAGGGGCCTCCCCTGGCAATCTCAAGGGACAGACAGGCTCACAGAGGAGAATAAGGCTTTTCAGATAGCCTAACCCCTTCTATAATTCGCATAATTTCAAGTCCATGTCCCAAGTCTCCTGCTCACCAAGTGCTGCAGTAATAGTACTTGGAAAGTTCATAACTGTGAACAAAGGATAGCACTAAGACAACAATAAAGCAGGATGCATTCTGCACTGGTGCAGAGGGCACACAGTGACTTTCATCTACTTTACTTAATAAGATGTCCTGAATTATTGTGTTTCTTAAAACAGGATTCTGTGCCACAAAAACCTCCTAGCCAAGAGCATGTAACTGAAACTGAAAAGGTAGGAACATAAGAGAGCTTCAATATTACTGATACAACATGGCATGAAATCACAAGAAGCATATTACTTTAATTCCCAGTACCAGAAACCCTGATGAGCCCAGTCTGGAATTAGTTAAGTGACTCCTATTATGATGAAGCTACCCAGAGGAAGGCCTTCCCTGCAGTGGCTGTGGAACACGCTCCCCAGAGAGGTTCGCCTGGTGCCAACGCTTTTCTCCTTCCAGCACCAGGTGAAAACCTTTTTTATTTTCCCACTATTTTAATTGTTAATTGTCTTAATTTGTGGTTTTATATTATTGGATTCTGTGCTACTTTTATCTCTTTATCTTATTTTATTGGTGGTGTTGTAAATCACCCTGAGACGTCAGTGATGGGATGGTATACAAAAGGTTTAAATAAACAAACAAACAAACAAACAAATGACGTCAACAAAGCATTTGCTAATCAAAGCATGACAGGCAATCATATAGAAACTGGGAAATGGCGAACATATCATGGACTCTGGGACACCCCAATTACTTTCTCTTACCTTGACAGGCTTTTCCAGCTTGACAGTGTGTCATGTGATTGAGGACATTTTTCATGGTTCGGCAGTGGGGAAGCGCACAAGGCCGCACCTCTCCATTGGCTTGTTCTCGTCTCTGACACTTGTGAGCATGAAGCAGGAGAACCAATTGCTGCTGAATTAGTTTGCGCTTTTCAGGATCAGCTGTTGGCCCTGTTGCCATTGCTGGTGTAGGTACAATTCCCACTTGCTGTACCTGGGTTTGCATTTGAGACTAGGAGAAAAACATTTTTGTGTTACATGAAACAAAAAAGCAGGTTATGAAATTTTGCTTAAAGCAGCATATCTTGCAATGTAATCTTTCTAAATAGTGATGGTCTAATGATGACCTTAAACTACTTTGCCATATACTTTACAGTATAATGTCCAGGAATAAAAGCTTAGAATTTAAAACAAAATAATGTTCACATAGGTGTAATCAGAAGTCCTAGCTCAGCAATTCTATTCAACAGACACTTTCTTGGAAGCGCTGTTGAATTCAAGAGACATTCTTAAGAATGCTTTGAGTTAGACCTGTTGCACATAAAAATAATGCACTGCAGCTTTCACTGAAGTGAATGCATTCAGAGGTTAGATGAAAATGACTTTCATTCTAGGTTAGTTACCTACCCCTTGGGGATTTATTGCTGGTTTCTTCGGTGTTAGCCACTTTTCTTTCACCTCTGCAACAAACACTTCAGCAGTTTCTCTACCATCCTGCTGTATTTGCACCCAATCTTAAATTACACTAACATAATTGATGGTACCATCACAGATCCTGACTTCCGTTTTTTTATCTTCATAAAGACTGTGCCAGTTTTGAAATGTCTGTTAAAATCAATTCCCGTTTCTGCTATAAAAGGAGTAGTACTGAAATTTGGGCAAAACATTCACATTTTTAAAAGAAAGATAAAGTGATACTATGTTGACCTTAGAAAACAAATAATGCAATACTTCTATGGGACCAATGGCTGCTGTTAGAGAAACACAGAATGGACATAAGTATTGTCATGCCTGTCTTCATCACCAGCAAATCCTTTTTGGCTCCCAAAAGTAATATTCAAGCTAACTCTCTGCTCCTCCAGGCCTCCTTCTTCATCATCTCTTATTATCCTGCTGAAGATAATACCTGGTTATATAGATTAACATTGTTAACCTAAAACTATTTCTTACTGCCATTAAAAAACACAAACTCCTCTAACAATCCCCTTGTTTAAATGCTAGGAGCAGTACATATGAAGTTTCATGTAAACTGTTGTATTCAAGCCAAGCTGAAACACAGTTAAACTGTAGAATTAAGTTTACTGAGAAAACTTTCCCAATGCTGATTTTTATTACCTAAATTGGAGTATAAAATTATCTAAAATACTGCACAAAATTACTATTATATATTGTAAGATAGTGCTGATTTCCCTCCATCAATTATATAAAGGTTAAGGAAATGATTCCCTATGTTTTGAGAAAGTAATACATAAGTAAAAAGTCAAATCACAAACTTTGTAAAGACACTCGAGCTCTTCATAAAACAGCAAAAACATTTCAAATGAATAAAACGGAGATCATAACCTTCAAGTGGTAACAACATGAAAATAAATGTGACCCTTACAATGCCAATAATTCTGTATTTGAAAACTTTAAATTCTATCCACTTGAAACAGTGTGCAGGACACAGTGGGTTTAATTCATGACTCAGTGTTTATAGCCACTTTTTTGTATATGCAATCCCTGACCATGGTATTTGATATTGCTTTCTGAAACACTGAATTAAATATCAATGCTTAATTCACAGAATTCAGAGCTGGAAGGGGCCAGAAGGCCATCTGGTTCAATTCCCTGCTTAGTCCAGGATTCCAAGGTAAACCATCCCTCTCAGTGGGCTGCCCAGTGGCATCTTGAATGCTTCTAGTGTGGGAGACTCCATAACCTCCCTGGGTAACTGATTCCATTGTCATACAGCCCTAACAGTTAGGACGTCCTTCCTAATGTTCAGCTAGCACCTGGCCTTCTGTCACTTGAGCCTGTTATTTCCTGTTCTGCACTCTGGGATGACTGAGAAGAGATCCTGTGCTTCCTCTTTGTGTCAACCTTTCAAGTACTTGTGGAATGCTATTGTTATCTCCCCTCTGTTCTTTTGTGGGTTGTGTAGGGTTTTTTTTCAATCTCTCCTCATAGGGCTTTGTTTCCAGTCCCTAACCCTTACTTAAGGCCTACACAACCCTCACATAATCCTACTACTAATCAAGGGTTATTTAACCTTTGAATAACCCATCATAGTTAATCAATGGTTTGCTGATTTATACAGTTAAGTCTATTTGGATAAGAGGAAACATCCACCTTTGAGAGGCATGCAAAATTATGCACATACTAGGTCTCTATAAGTTGGGATGCCAATAATTTAAGTTTCTCCATTCAATAATCCAGTTAATCTAACTTGGTTTGTGCATTCCCATTTTAAAAATCTCAGATTGGTTGGATTTATTCAATCTAGAAAATAGTATCTGAACTCAAAAAATAAAAATGGATCAAGAAAGGTTTTTCAGGAACAGGGAAGACAGTGGCATATTTAAATGAAGCAGGGATGGAACCAGGAGAAGGGGGGAGCAGAAGGGAAGGTGAAACCCAAAGGGGCAGCATCAAGAGGACATGTGATGGTAGACAAGGACAACAGGGCAGTCCATTCAGCAAGAGAGAAAGAGGGGAAGAGGAAAGGATAGAGAGAGATGTTAGAAGACTCACTGGGAGATTGGACGGCAAAAAAAGCATGACAGATGAGACTCAAGGGTTTTGTTTACTCCAATTTGCACTTTTAGGCAATAATCTGAGCTGTCCTAATCCTGATTTGCCTTTCACTGTTTTCAGAAGCAAAACAAAAACAAAAAGGAACCCCCACACAACCTCCCCCTTCAAGCTTCCTGACATGTTTGCTAAAGAAGCTTGCTTTTTTGGCATGCATAAATTCTATGTACTGTATGTGTGAAACAATTCTTTTTAAATTATAACTTGGTAAGCTGATTTCTATAAATTGCATTAGAGCTATTCAGTTCTGAGCTCCATTTTTTTTTTTTTTGCATAAATACATTCCTTCTCTTACAAAGAAGCCTGGATAAGATGGATATGATCCAAACTCTGATACAGATTTACATAATTAATCCAAGCTATTTAGGGTACATCCTTCTGCATATTCCATTCTGACCATGGGAAAGATCTAGCATTATTTCAACTGAATACAGGAAACCTTTCCAGAGCAATTTGTGTCAAAGGAAAACATCCCAGAACTATGGAAAAACATCAGAGGAACTATAGGCAACTCACCATATTTGGCACAGTGGTAACTGAAACACTCTTGATGTCTGAAGGAAAGGGAGACAAGCTATTTGCCATTCCTGGTTTATTTGGTACTGGAGAGTTAACACTTGGTGCTCCCATCTGCTGCCCTCCAGTTTGACTAAATGGCTGCCCAAAGGGATTAGGGCTACTGGCCATTCCCAGCTAGAATGAAAGAAACATTATGAATGCTAGTGTCTTGCAGTCAACTAAATTCAGGTACAGACAGTAAGGAAAATTAGCTGGTTTTTTGAGTCATAGGCAAAGACATACAGGTCTTAGGAGTTGGATTTGTTACCTACATGCACGGTTTTGTTGCAACCGGCACCTAAGTTTAGCTCTTACTGTTGAAAAAAATACTGCACATCTGTGCTGGAATGAGACTTGCTACTCAAATGTGAAGAAGTATTTCTTTGCAGTTTACCTTTTTATTCCTATTTAAAATATTTTAAATAGCATCTTCTAGGATGGCACAAGCATAAATAGTATTTAAACCCCTGCACCAAACAATGTAGAATACAAGTGGTAACAAAGAAGTAAGAGTTTCTCCAGCTATACCATCAGATGCTTCTTAAAGTTGGAGATTCACACTAATGCCCAAGCTGGCTGTCCTAAACTCTTGTAACTAGACAAATGCCTCGTGCCGCCCCCTCCCCTCATTCTCTGTGGCCATGCCAATTTTGAATTACTAAACAGAAAACTTCAAAATGAGTTTTGTTCAATTTTAAATGAAATTAATGTTTCTATCACAGCAATGTTTTCATATTTATGCTCTAATAACTGTAATTTTATTTTAAAGATTTCTCTATCACTTTCCTGAAACTTAAGATGGTATAAATAGTTCAAATATGGTAAGAAAGGGGCAATAAAATATTAAAACAGGAATATACATAATAAAATATTTTAAATGTGCATTAAAATCCCACTAAAACAATTTTAAAAGCAAAGGGTCTTTTTTAACAGACAAATAAACAATTGGAACAGGAATGACTGCTTTATCATGATGTATAAACCAGGTTAATCTTATCATTTATTTATTTGGTCATAGACCAGCGCAGAGGTTACTCTTATCTTGTTCTTTTGCATCCAGCCCATAATAATAATAATAATAATAATAATAATAATAATAATAATAATAATATTGAAATATATTATTGGCTTCCTTGGAATTTGATGACAGAGAGCAACAAAGCTGGGTATAAGTAGTATATTGGCACTTCAAATTTCTCAGCAGTTTAATGTAAGCTGAGTACAAGATAGAGTACAAGATAGAATCCACTGAGACAGCATAGGCGACGGGAGAGCAGTTTCTGGCCTGCAAGTCTGATCCTGCCTGTGGAAGGTTGGACCACCCACTGTAGGTCCCCTTCGCCTTCCCATTCCCCTTTGCAATGCTCATCTTCCATCAGAAAGAGAGAGGAGCAAAAGGGGATATCAGGGAAGAGAGAGAGGCCAAGGATTCCCCCTTATTGCTTGGTCAGGTCCCTTCCTGCACCACTCCTGCACAAACTGACAAAAGAGCGGTCCAACACCTCCTTTTCACCCTGACTGGGATGTGAATGGGATGACAAGGAACCACTTGATGCAGCCAGCATTTGCAGGCAGTGACTCCTACAAGTACTGGCTGAATTACTTTCCATGTAAAGAGATCCTGGAACTTTGTCCATCTCTCCATAAGGAAAAAGATGGAGTGGTACAGTAAACAAGGCAATCTTGGGAGGGACCAGGAATTCAGACCAAGGACCTTCCTCACTGACAATACCCAGACCACTAATTTTGGTTTATAGAGCAATATGTCCCATACTAAAAGATGCTGCTTCCCCATCCTTATGTACCAGATTATGGGCATGACCCTAAGGACTAAAATCCACTACTACTGTAATGCAGTAGACTCAAGCCCTAACCCTTCCAGATGGCTCAGAAGGATATCATGGTTGTTGGTACATGGTTGTTGTTATAAAAAGATGTTGAGAAGTCCAAGAGAACCAAGATCCAATATGGGGTAGTGGCTAAGAGCATGGAACTGGAACTCAGGAGATCTGGGTTCTAGTCCCCACTCAGCCATGGATCTAACTGGGTGACTTTGGGCCAGTCACAGGCTCAGCCCAACATACCTCACAGGATTGTTGTTGTGAGGATAAGATGGAGAAGAGGAGCAAAATTATGTAAGCCACCTTGAGTTCCTTGAAAGGAAAAAGGCAGGATATAAATATAATAAATAAAATAAATAACTGAGCTGCATTTCCCCAAAACAGCTCCTTTCACAGTTCATCTATCAAGGCAACCACAGCGGTCCAAGGCCTACATCTTGACTAAAACAGATTGAAATGGGTCTAGATAACCAGAGAGTCTGGAATGGTGAGGCCACCACCTTCTAGATTTTCTTACTAGTTAACAAAACTGGTAAATTTGCAATTGTCCTATAATTTCATGAGTATTCTGGGTCAAGGGAAGATTTAAGTAATAAAGATCTTCTTCCTATGTCCTTTGAATAAGAGAAAACAATCCCCTCATCCAAGAAGGTATTACTAATTTCTTTTAACTATGGGACTGACCTTGCCTTTGCCAGTTTAATTAGCCAGGAAAGGCAATAGTCAAGTAAACAGTTGGTAGCTCCCAACTCTACAGACCCTCTGTCCAAATCTACAAGATTTATAGGCAGAAAATGTATATAGTTATTGTAAAATATAAGCAAATCACAACAATAAAACAATAAAAGATCAAAACTAATCAATAAAACCAGATAACATCACATAAATAATGGCAGCCAGTAAAGTTCGTTCAAATATAGGCCAAGGTAAATAAGACTTTTGAACCCGCTTGAACACCTGCAACAAATGGAACCCAGTATTTAATGAATGACGGTATGGGGGGAAAATAAATAAAAAATAAACCCTGTGAATGTCAACTGGAACAGAGTTCTCCAAACTGCGGGGGGGGGGGGGGAGTGCAAGCAATTGCCAAGGTAACATCCACCTGAGGCAAATCCGAGCAAGTGTATGACATGGTTCACACAACAATCGTGTGGTTAACAAGGCATCATGTTGCACAAGTCAGTCCTATGGGTTATTGTTGGGTGATCTGAGGGTTGCTACCTCTCAAATAAGCCATGCCACCGGAGTACAGAACACAGTTAGGCCAGTGAAGAAAATTAAGGAAATCCAGCTGGCATGCACGGGAGAGGGTGAGGGTTGAACCAGCCTTATCTGTATGGAATGAAGCAAACTGTTCTACCAAACCTCCAGCTGCTCTGATTCCCTGCATCCAATATCATCATTAAGAAACACTAGCACATCACAATTTTCTTTATCCAAGTATGAAGGCAAGAGAGAAGGAAGCTTACTTTGTTGCCCTCACCACCCCAGCATCTCCAACTCCAGTCCATGTTTAATCTTTGATTTATCCAGAGTTTTTTCATTTGTGCTCTAGCTGTTGTCCTGTTTCATTGCCATCAACTTCCTCTTAAGGCAAGAAGCTGACCTAGCTCTACAGGGGAAAGGGGGTATTTGTCCTGGGCCTGGGTTATGTATTGCACCAATTAGCCAGGGTTATGGAAGTACCACTGACAGACAAGGCAGGATATTACCCAAAGACCTTCAAAAAACCATTTGGCTTCATCAGATTCCTGGAGCACAGCATTTTAATCAGCAATCTATCCCTGTGGAGGCTCATACTAGCAGCTAGTCAAATGCAAAGCAAAAATCAATGTTACAAAAGAATAACCCAAAACTTCTCCAACTCTGAAACACCTTCTTCACCCACAAAGACTACCAAGTATGGAACCAGATACTAATTGGGACAAATCAATGATTGCACAGTGGATCTTTTTATTGGTTATTAATTTATTAACTACTAACTTCTGAAGACAATTATTTTGAAGAAGGAAAAAAGTCTTGCCAGTACTGCACAGTCGGAAGCTGAAGAGATTAGTGATTATTAGTAAGCAATCATCCTAATATCATCCAATAATTCAGCTAAGAGAGAACCCAGAAAAAATCATTTGAAGAGCTGAAATACCAGTGAACAAGCTTCTCTTTAATATAAATCACTGGAAAATTGGCTACAAACTAAATTATTAATATTTAGGGCAAGGGCTCAAACCCCTATTCAGCAAAAGAGTAGATTCCCAATAAAACCTGTTTGTACATTTCCTGAACGATGGTGCAAATCTGAACACTAAACCATGTTAATTTACAACTAAGTAGAGTATTTTTAAAGTTTTGTTCTAACATATCATTTGCTCAAATGCAATGACGACACATCACAGCAAACTGTGGATTAACTAATTCATGAATGAAGGGGATGCAAGAGCATGCAAGCCACTTCTGGTTTCCATCAATAATCTACAAATGTTCCATAGCTAAATTGTAACGGTAACATCTAAACCAGGGCACTTTGGGTTGCTCATGAGTTGAACAGCCCAAATGTGACCCAAGGAAAAAACATGGACATGAGCACATCAGCATCCTCCTGCTCATGTTCCCACAACTGGTTACATAGGTATACTGTTTCTGATACCAGAGATAATATACAGTCATCATGACTGGCACCCGCTGAAAGCCTTCTTTCTCCACCATGAACTTCTCTGGAGGAGCGCCTTTTAAAGCCATCCACACTCATAGCCATTTATTTTTTCCTCCAATAATCTCTAACACAGAATTTTCTAGTAAGACCTCTGTTAGGCCTGTTATATCTTTAACTGGAATCATACTCAGTTCAGATCTCACTGACATTGTATGTATACTTTTTAAATTAAATTTGTAAGTACAAGTCTCTCACAAAAAACTATGCAGGCATTTGTATCAATGACATGATAGCTACTAGATTATTCAACTCTATGCATCCATACCATTGATGAATTCTAAAATTGTGCAGAGAAAAATTTTCCTCAGAGAAAAATCTGCACTGAATCTTTGCTTTTACTTCCATATATTTGAACATTTTAACTTTAATTATGCATTCTCTAATTTCCTAAGAAACTAAGCTGTTTTCTTCTCTCTATTAATTCTAAAATTTCTCTAGAAGCACTGCTCCGAATCAAAGATTCAATGAAACCCAACTTTGGAAATGATACCTACTCATGCAAAGAATCCACATAACTTCTTTGCAATTTTTCTGAGTTTCGTCAGTGTTCCTTTTATACCATAAGCATCTAGCATCCTAGTAGTGTTTTGCTCTATTCCCATCTCAGATACATTTCAAGAAATTGCTGTGAATAATCTTATTCCTTAGCTACTTTGACTCTCATATTTCTTCTTGGAAGGTAAAGAAAGTCTATGAGCATCACATCTGATATCACCTAATAGCTTGGACTACTTCTGGACTATGTCACTAAAGGCAACTTCTCATGATATAACAAAAGACAGGTTCAAGCATCAGTTCCACTATGTGCTTTCTTTTACATATGAAAAAAACTTCATGCCTGAACATACACAAACTCATGTCTAAGAGAAACTGTCAATCTGCATGTGCTGAAGCTGTGAAGTAACCCTAAATAACTTCATCTATTTGAATTTAATGTCTATTAAACAGAATTGTCTATTTAACCAACTAAACAAAATAGCTTATGTATGGGACTTATTATACCTTGCTTTCAATGTAAACTAGGGGTTCCCCCAGACACAGGTGGCCTCCTATCAGGTTCTTATTCACTTTTTTTCAATTTTACAAAATTTACAACATTTTGGAGAATCAGAATCTAGTCTAATAAAAATCTGTCATATATATAAAAGCAAGATAGAAGGTAGCATAAACTGATGCTACATTTGTTTCTACAGGAAGACCTAACAATGCAAGCCAATTTATTTACAACTAAATTTCTAGAATTCTGGATATAGGAATCTGAACACATTTTAAAAAAAATTATTATATTTATATCCCACCTTTTTTCCTTTCAAAGAACTCAAGGCAGCTTACATAATTTTCCTCCTCAGTCTTATCAAAATAAAAATGAAAATTTAAGGTTAATCAGTGATTAGACAATAGATTTGTAAAGGTAATCCACCCATGGAATACTTCCCTAAAGCTGACTTTGCAAGCCAAGACAAACTCTTTCCTCAGAGCTATGCTTGAGGCAAGTTACCTTTTGTTTGGGCAGAGGATCCTTGCCTCCAACTGTTACAGATGAGACCGAGCTGAAGTCCTCTACTCTCACTCACATCATATACTAATCTGGCAGTGTTATAAGCCAAATTCTTCACAAACACTTCCCTTAACTTTAATATTTAGATATTCTGTTTGGCCTACAGGTACACTTTGGGCAATTTTCTGTAAAGTACTCTCTGTGAGGCTGGCCTTAAGGTTTCTCCGGAAGCTGGAGCTAATGCCAAATGCAGCAGCTCTTCTGTTGTTGGAAGCTGCCCCTTTTTAGAATACAACTCCTTCGCTGAAGGAACTACACTGGCCATCTGCTCATTACCAAACCAAGGTTAAGGACCTAGGCTTTGGCATGGAAATCAGGATATCTGAGAATGCCTTTTCCTCTACCAACCTGCCTGATTTCTAAGGTCATTGGAAGATGTTCTCCTGGTGGTCCTATGCAGACCTCTGGCCTCACTGGAGTCATTCAGAAGAAGAGCTTTCAGTACAACAGCTCCATTCCCAATGGAATTCCTTGCCTACCTTCAGAATTCCTTCTGGAAGACAGGAAAGCACCAACACTGAGCTGTTTTTGGGGCCTGCTGAAAACATAATTGTTCCTGCTGATCAGCCAGAGTTTTAATGTTATTGTGCTTTTAAAATATGATTTTAATGTTTTAATCTATTTTACCTGTTCAGCTGTTCACCACTCAATCTGCCTAGATATGAAGCAGTATACTAATATGGTAAACAAAAAAACCCTAATCTACTTGATCACTTGACAAATCTTAGCTTGAGAAGAGGAAAGGCTAGTGAACTACTCTAGAAAAGAAACTTTCACTTGAAGTAGGAAAATAGTGTCACTATGAAGCAGTTCAAACTTGCACTAAGAATGATTTTTCCACATTGCTCCATTCTTCGTCATGTAGTCGTGACGATTCCACTCTCGTGTTTAATACAGAAGAGCAAGTCCAGCACATCATGGTCAGCAGCAACCCATTTCTATCCTCTGGGTTGGTAACTAAGCAGTGCCATCTCTCATGGGTCCAAACTTGCCCCCGATGTAAACAGTCTAAATCTGCCACTGGCTTAATCAGTCTAACACAGGACTACATGTTTTTTCTTGCCCACTGAGAAAAAAAATACTCTTTTCCATCATACTTCCCCTTTACACATTGCATTTTTGCTGACCATTACTGTGCTTGTTCCTAAGTGCAACGTGCCTCCCACCATGTGCTACTTTGAATGACAGAAAGTAGGGGTACTTCAGAACAAACCCTGCCCCCAGCTGTTTCCTTTTCCTCCTCAGAGCCTAAAATATCTTATGGGAGACAGAGACAAATCCATGAACTAAAGGAGGTAGTCTGCCTTCCTTTGGCTTTTCCATGTATCTAACTGCTCAGTCACACGCCATAGGGAGACTTGCATCACACACTATAATCAAAGCAGCCTGCCAGCAAACCAGTGGCTGACCAACAGCAACAACTACCAGGAGGGTCACCCAAGTACTTCCTTTAGTGTAAGGAAACCAGATCACTATTGTCGGGTTAGTGATCAGTCCTCCACCTGATACACATGTGGCTTTTAATTCCACATGAAAAGTCAAAGGGCAGTGAAATCTGAGAAATCTGAGATGAAAGCACTCTCTTTTAGCATGCTACACCTAGGAACTAGCTTGTTTGTAACCCATGATCTCTGCAATATTTCTGATGATTATCCTGAATCATGACCATCTTGAAACAGTCTTGTTCCATTTTCAATTCTCAATTATCAAAAGTTTTAGGAGCAAAAAGAAATTCTCTTTTGTTTTAAAAGCAATCAATTATAACAGCTGCATACATGACTGTTTCCTAGTTCCTTTGAAGCCAAGCTATTCCACCAGCTATTATACTCTTTTTATGTTCTACAGTCACACTACTGCATACACGATCTCACACATGCCAGTACCATATCAATAGATATCAACATTTTACCCTTCAGCAATAACAGCACAGTTCTCAAAAATGCTTGAAGGAATGCTCTGGCTTATTTGGAGCATTCTGCTCCCTGGCAAACTCTGTTCTGTCCCATTCATTTAGTCAGACTTGCACAGTTTCTATCAGTCAACCTCTTCTTCCTCCCCTGCAATTGGCTGCAGTTCAATAAAACTTTTTGTTAACAGCCACAGAAAACAGGTTTCTTACCCTGAGCATGTTGAGCATCATGACTGAATTTACTCAGTGCAGTTTCAACAAAGTTTGCCAGGTACAAGCGACTGCAATGACATTTCGACCAAGAGACTGATAGTCAAAGGTACAGCAAGCAATAAATGCTCCTGCTTTACATTTCTATCTTTACTGCAGTAATGTAAGGATACCAAAATATAACGACTAAAGAAGGTAATTTAAGGAACAATCCTATTGACTGTGCCCTCACGATCGGAAACCCACCAACTCATAGGCTTCTAATCATCTAGTGCAAGGCAGGAATGCCAAAGCCAATCTTTGCCTCTGCCACTCTGCCTCTGCCCTCCTGACATTTTGTTTTGGGTTTTTTGCTCATCTAGTAACAACATCAGAGAGGGAGGGAAGGCGGCTGGAGAGGTATCCAATATATGAGAGGTCATATATTGGTTTCTCTGGTCTCCTCCTCCCCACTCTAGAAATGCTCACTTTTGCCCCTCTTTGAAGTCACTTTCCTTATGTTGGAGGGCAGCCAGTACTGGTTTTTTCACCATACCAGGAGGTGATATCCAACTCCCCCTCCTGAACTTAGAGCACTCTATCTGACCTTGAAGGGGGAATCCCATTGTACCCTATGGCTGCTCAGCCAGTACCTTGGAGCCACAGGATTAATCCCTTAATGACCAAAGAAGGTTCCCAGCCAACTTCTCTATGGCTTAGTCCAAGACTAGGCTTCCAGGTGCCCCCACATCAGAGGTTTCAAACTCTAATTCCCATCAACTCCAGCCAACATACCTGATTGGCAGGGATTATGCGAGCTGTAGTTCAAAATATTTGGAGTACACTAGGTTGCATATTCCATGTTTAGACAATTCAATTACACTTCTTTATACAGGAATTCTGATAGACAGTTATGTAACTGATTTGTTAAATAAGACACATGAAAGCAAATGCCTTCAAGTTTCACATTCTTAAGAGCAGTTTAAGAGATTCTTTAACACAACCACCTGAATTCAAACGATTATCACATACTTTTGCCATGGCTCCTGCCTGGGCTGTATTCATGCCCGTGTGACCCGTCATTTGAGGAGACACTTGAGGCAAGGGTTCTGCCAGCACAGCGCTTGCATTTCCCTGCATGGTGGGTGTAGAATACTGTATTCCGGTACCACGTCCTCTTCCAGCTGTTCCAATGGATCCATTCATTACCTGTCCTTGTCCTTGCTGGGCTTGATTCATTAAATTGTGGCCTGAGTTACTATTTAGCAGACCTGGATGAGCTTGGTTGAAACCACTGTTCATACAAATCCCAGCTCCTGCCTGGGAGGCTGCAGGGCTGCCTGTCACCATCCCCACTTGTTTTTGTGCTTGAGAGTTCAGGGCTTGAGTTGCTGGGGTGCTGGGCCCAGGTGTGCTTGCTGCTTGCTTGGCCAGACTTGATGCAGCAGTGTCTCCCTGGTTTAAGGGACTTGTGCCCATCACACCCAAGTTGCCAATATTCACACTGTTTGGTTGCCCCTGGGATTGGCTATTGACACCTTGTGGGACAGGGCTGCTGGAGTTCACGTTTCCAATTCCTGGGTTGACAGAGGAGCCACTGCCTTCCCTCAAAAGTTTGGAAAGTTGTTTGTGTTTGGAAGCTGCATCTGGAACAAGGTTTCCGCTGCTGCTTAGAAGATTAAATTCTCCATTAGGGATCAGCTCATCAGGAAGATCATTTTCCAAATCAAAGAAAGTTCCAAAATCTGCAAAGTTAACAAAAGCTGGTATAAGTCATAAAACATTCATATATTCATAACATTCACTGATGCAACTGCATTCTTGATGCAACTGATTAAGAACTACAAACACAAAACCACTGTGCAACTATATTCAAGGGCTACAGTGTTAGAAATATACAAAGGTAGTTACCAGATAAATATCCTTATATACCAGTACCCATGTTAAGCAGTCCTCTGTGCCATATCACTTAAATTCAGCACAATGCTAAGAATAAACTGTGTTCAAGAAATGTCATCCCACTGAACATGCCAGAGTACATGCAGGAGCATGAAAGTACTTGTAAATTTTTCCTCCATTTACTATCTTTACTGAAGTCTGAAAAGCAAGAGGTTTATTAACATGTTCCTCTAGCACAGCAAAGCATCTGAGCTCTCACATACATGTGACTTGCTGGCTCCCTGTCATACCTGAACTAGTGTAGACAGGGCTTAGCTCTGCATGTTAACCTTGAGACTCAGTGGAGCAGATGGGCAGTCAGAATAATACTGGGAAACCTCAGGTCAGTCAGAGTAGCTACTCAGATAATAAAAATGGAATGAATGGATGTACTTTCCATGCAATAAGAACGATGAAGCGACATCAATCAATTTTTAAGATATATTCTCTGCTGTCCTTTAAGAAGATCTCTGGCACATAAGCAAGTCTGCTGGGTTCAGTGTTGCTTTTATTCTGCTGTTGTTTAGGTTTTATTACATTTTAATTCAAGGTTTTATTATAACTTCAAGTTTTATGCATGTTTTTAAGCCACCCCGTGGGCCTTTTTTTATAGCAAGGCAGAATACAGCTCAAATCAATAGTTGGCTTTTTATATTTAAAAAATGCCAGTGTAATAATGTGCTTGGAACAGAAACTGCATCATCTCAACATTAAAAAACTTCAAAGGGGTACCCAGCAATACTCAAGCGCTGAGCATTCTGCTGAGCTGGACAGGATGATTCTCTGGATCCTTCTACTCTTTAACAGTATGATTTATGAACTTCGCAACAAATTGCATGATGTTCTAACACCTGCCATCTTATCAAAAAAGGAGAATTGCCTAAGTTCTATATAGGCAAAACAAGTTAGCTCCATCTATGTTATAAAAGATCCTCATGCATCAAGACATTCTTTAAAACCTAAGTGGGGGAGCAAGCTTTCAAACATGGAGACAAACCATTGACTAGGTAAAGATATTTCCTGGCTTTCCTTTTCTAATTGCTCCAATTTTCAATGTCTACATAATGAAGTCTCTAAAAGGACAACAATAACTGAAAATATGAACTATCAATTCAGAGAACAAACCAACCCTTCATTAAATCATCATTTCCACGAATCACTTAAACTATAATTTGCCAATTTCATTGATAATGAAAGTTTTAGTTTGTTGAATACTAGAAAGTTACTAACCAATCGAATCCAAAAATCAATCCATACTAAAAGTAATAGTTTACTAAAAGCTATATCTGTTATTACTACAAGTGGTGTAGAATATAAAAAATGTGGAATATACAAATGTCTCCATTTATAAAGGTTTTCAAAAAGTCACATTATTTGAGTATTAAGCAGCAACTGTACTCTGTATAAAGAAAACAATCTCTTATAACCCCTGAAAACCATAACACTGAAAACCACCTGGAGAAACACTTCAGGTAATTCGTTACTCAATTCAAATAAAAGAAAATACAAAACTGGTATTTTAGGATCAAACCAGGTATAACTTGACAACCTGGGATTTCATATTTAACACTCAGCTCTGCTACAGACAGCATCAACCTCTGCCCAACTAAAAACTGTACAGATACAGGCATAAAAGTGAGAAGGAAACAGCATGTTAAAACCAAAACTTATTGATTTTATCATGTATCTTAACATGTTCACAGTGTTGCTCCCAATAACATGGCTCTGGAGACACTACAGAACAGTGAACATCCAAGGAGGAAAAAGTTAAACTTCTTTCATGGACCCCCTTCCACATCCAAGGTTTCAAGTTCAGAAAACTGTCTGGGGGAAGATGCTGAGAGGGAGTCACAGTAAGATGAGGTTAACCATGTGCACAGAACCATTGATATTATAGAAAAAGTAATTGTCATTATTTGATATATCCCAACCACCTCATATTACTGAAATTACCTACTGTGGCAATATGTGGACTAGAAGCTTACAAAGAAGTTACTAAAAGCAGAGTAACCATCACCTGCCATAGAGCATAAGCAAACACTGACTAACAAAATTATATGGTCTGCACACCAGATGATCTACTTCCTTGGCAGATAAAACATCTTTAGAAAGACCAACTAGGATGATTCCAGAAAAAGACTGGACAAATTCATAGACGAGGAGGTTATGAATGGCTGCCAGTCCTGGTGGCTACCTCCAGTGTTGGAGGCACTATTCCTCTGCATGTCAGTTGCAGGGATCATGGGCAAAAGGGTCCTGCTTAGGGATTTCTCAAGCTAGGAGTCTGTCACTGTGTTAACAGAATGCTGGACAAGATGGAATCCTGGTTTGATCCAACACCAGGGATCTTCCAGCTAGGGGTGGGTGAGCACTCTCCTTCAAGCACCTGCTAACTCAAAGGTTTACCTTTCCATAGGTGGCTACCTAAAATACAGACTATTTCAGAAACAACACCTTAACCATACTTGGCAGAACAAATACAACATTTTTAATGCTACCTCCAAGACAACCGAGAAAACATCAACAGTAGAAAAAGTACTCTGACGACGTCATTAGGAATAATTCATGCTCGGCAAAGGCAGCTACTAAGTTTTGCCTGTCACTTTCTCAGCCGCCCTCCTCTGTCTCTATCTTGCTTTCTCTCGCTGCTTCCCAGCCAGCCGGGCAACATCGCTCGCGGACGGGCTTTTGGCAGAGCCGCTGCAGGCGCTCAGCTCGGGAGGGGGAGCCAGCCGCCTTGCCTCTCGACGCCCGGGACCCATGTAAGGGCTGGCGTGTTTGACAGGCCAGCGCGACCTGCCCCCAGCCACCGACAACCCTGTTCGGAACCCGCGGAGAGCCGCCGGGGAATGACATCCCAAGTCGCCCACTGAGAAAGTAAGTCCGGGGTGAACCTCGGGACCTTAAGAGTGGCCGGACCGAGGGCACAGGCTGGGCCTATCGGCCCCGGTGGCAGAGAAAGACTACTCACCTGTGGTGTCGGGGGTGGAGAAACCGGGCGAGTTGAGCTTGGCCCGCTTAGCGTTGGGCGGCCCGTCCAGCAAGTTCTCTGCCATGGTCTGCCGCCGCCGCTTAACCTGCTCGCTCCCTTATCCTCCTCCTCCTCCACCGCTGCCGCCGGGGCTCCGCGCTTCTCCAGCCGCCTCTTCCTCGTCGCCGCCGCCGCCGTGGCGGTAAGACCAGCCGGGAGGCTGGGCTGTCCGCGGCCGACAGTGCTGCTCAGCGCTTCACAGCCGCCTGCGCCGGCGGCCCCCGCCGCTGCTCGCCCATGTCCAGCGGCTGGGCAGGCCGCGGGCCGGGCCGGGCCGGAGTGGCGGCGCTGGGGGCCGGGCCGGGCCGGGCCGTGCCCAGGCAGGCACGCAGGCAGGCCGCAGCAAGAGCGGCTGCGGAGGGAGCCGGGCGCCCCTCCCCCTCGCGGAGGTGCCCGGATGGCGGCCGCCCGCCCCGCTCGGCTCAACTCCGGCGTCCGTCCGTCCGTCCGTCCGTCAGAGCGCCCCCCCCAGGCAGTCTCTCGCTCGCTCGCTCGCTCGCTCGCCCCTCCCAGCGGCGCGGGCGCTTCGTCTCAGGCCCGGCGCGACCAGCTGACAGAGCGAGCGGCCGAGCGAACAAGCGCCCGTCCGCCCACCCGCCCGCCAGCAAGGAAGAAGCGGCGGCGGCAGCGGCGGGCGGGGTGGCCTCGACGGCCCCACAGCGGCCGCAGCTCCCCGCGTCCGAGGCGGCGGCTCCTCTGAGTGGCTCGGCCAGTCCGCCGCCGCGGCGTCCCCACACAACTCGGCTCCTGACCTGGCCCGGCCCGGCCCGGCCCGGCTCGGCTCTCGCCCGCGACGCGCTCCGGCTCCGCGACAAGATGGCGGCTGTTGATTCCTCAATTAAAAAAAAAAAAAGTTTTTTTCTCTTCTCTTTTCCAGAGACGGAGAGGCGGGGCCGGGCGGGGCGTGCGCGCTTGCGTCACCGCGCAGGGACGAGCCTCTTCGGCCGCCACCGACAGCGGAAAGGCACGAGTGCGCGCGGGGAGCCTGGACGGTTGCTACGCGTCGGCCGAGAGGGTGAAGGCGGCGGTGCTCGTCCCGCCCGCGAGCGAGGCCGCGCCTGCTCGGGCGTCGCAGCGCTCAGGTGTCTGCAGCACCTGCCTGCCCGTTCTGCGGGGCCGGAGCGCCGACAGGGTCTTGCCCGACCGGCGCTTTGGCGAGGGGGGCCGCCCAGCCCGCGCAGCCTTGGGCCGAGCCTTGCTCCCTCGGCGGAGTCTCAGAACGGGCGGGCGAGCGCTGGGCGTTCGCGGGTCGCCGCCGCCTGCTGCCTCGGTTCGCGACTCCGGAGCATCCTCGGCCGCGCTAGATGTGCCTGGGGGAAGAATCTCCCGCAATTTCCGGCGTGGCCGCCTGTGGAATTTGCCTACTTACTTTGGTTCTTACTATTTTATTTCGTAGCGCCGTAATGCTGAAAAGCTCCAGATGGCTTAAATGGTACGCCTCCTTGCCATTCATTTCACAACAATCCTGTGAGGTAAGTGAGACTGAGAGCGAGGAGCTGGCGCAGAGGCCCACAGGAAGCTTCATGGCTAAGGGGAAATTCGGGCACGGATGTCTTGCGTCCCAGACCAGTGCATTGGCAGTCCAGCGCCGTTCTGGCACGGTGCTTTGTACCTGAGTCCTAGCATGCCTAGGATCGTGCCCCAGGGTGACATTTCCCGCCCAGATTAGGCTGTTATAATGAAGAATATCCTGTGCTCGGATCGGACCACAAGCCCACTTCAGCTCTGGTACCAAAATGCAATGCCTCGGCACTCAGGACAGGATTAGAGGTATCCCGTACTGCCTCTTCTCATTGCCAGTCCTTGGCCTGTCTGACCAGTGGACTTTGTACTTCTTTCTGTTTTTTAATGTTTGATTTTATTGTATGGCCCTATGGTGGGTATTTTAATGTTGTATATCTGTTTTTATTGTATATTTATTGTGGAAATGAATCTGGCATTTATTGTAAAATGTTCCTGAAATTCCAATGTGTTTGGAAATGTATTTGTTTTATTGTTGTGTATCTATTCCACAAAGCATTCCACAAAGTGGATGTGATTGCTGAAGAGGTCCTCCTGCTCCTCTTAGTGGCAGCCCACCAAATCTCTGTCCACAGTGGCACCTGGAACAGATGTAGAATGGCACATGTAGGGAGGTGAGCTCTTTTGCTTGAATAGCTACTAACACCACTGTCAATACACCTGCCGTGAAATATACGGCTTTCCTAGGAATGAGTCCTGCATTTTTAAAATTGTAATTTATATCCTGGTTTTCTGATAGCCTACATGCTGGCTTGCCTCAACTGTTCCTGGTCTTTTCATACTGTTCTGAGTTGCAGACTTCTGAGGTGCTGCTTTCATCACGATTCAGTGATTTGTTTGGAGATGGCTTAAGTTTTGGCTTCCTCCTAAGTGGCTTTGAAGGCCAGAGGTGGAAGTATGGGTTATTAATGAAACACTAATCCAAAACTAGCCACCACAGTGTCCACTTGTGATGGTAGAGATGTTCTCATAGTTTTTAAACAGGGCAAACATTTTTATTTTAGTAATTTGAGTGTACCATTGGCCTTGGAGGTCCAGATCTCATTAGTGGCTAGAATTTGTACATCTAAGGCAAATGTGGCAACTGTACCTATCGTGTCATCCATACCTTCCTTGCATCCCATTTGGAGTACTGTAACAGGCTGCTTGTGGGGTCACTTCTGAAAACTGGTTACTTCAGTTGGTCCAGAATGTTGTTGCCAAACAGTCGATCAGGGCTCTTTAGAAAGAGCCTGCCCTTGTTACAACAACTTATGGAATGCGCTCCCCCGAGAGGTCCACCTGGTGCCGTCGTTATTTGTTTTTCGGCGCCAGGCCAAGACCTTTTTATTTCGACAATATTTTAATAACTATAAATATCATTTATTGGTTTTAATTTCTACAGCCAGGGGGAATCCGGATTTTATATGTATTAGTTATATGTTGTTTGTTTGTTATGTTGGAAGCTGTCCCGAGGCTTATGCAAATGGGATGGCATACAAAAACTCCAAATGAATGAATAAATAAATAAACTTTACTGACTACCAGTGTGTTTCTAATCATATCAAAAGGACTGGATGTCACCTACAAAACCTCCATACAGGTGCAGACCAGACAACCTGAGAGAGCGCCTTCTTCTATGCAATCCTGCACAGGACTTTGGGTGGGGGTGTTCTTTATGACCCCTGCCTTCAGAAGCACATTTGGTGGTGATGCAAGAGAGGTCCTTTTCAGGGGCTGCTGTCTGGAGGTGCAACTCCCTGCTGAGGGAAGAAGGCCGGGTTTGCTCCCTCTTTGCTGGCCTTCCATTGGCAGGCAGATACCACTTGGCTCCAAAAGACCTTTGGCTTGGAAGTGGGTCTGCTGACTTGGGTGCTGTTTTTATAATTCTATCATGGTTATGTCTCTACGTTGTCATCTATTGTTTTAATTAACACAAATTGTTCTTGTAAGTTGTCTTGTGCACTAATATTTACCAGAAAGCTGTGGTAGAAACAAAACACATCAACAATAATAATGTATTGGCCACTTTTCATTATAAAATAATCCTAGCACTTCACTGGCCATAACATCAAACTAAATGGAACCGAAGTACGCCTAGCATGGCTTGCCCTAGCATTTGATGGGTGCTGTAATGCGGTCAGATTAGGGTTGGTATTGGAAGCTATCAGCATGCTTAAGGAAGGATTGCCTCAAAATGTGTGGGGAATGAAAGGGAAATAATCTGTATAGATAGATGGATTTATAGATTTGTGTGTGTGCGCACACACGTGCATGTGAAAGCAGGAAGAAATAAAAATGACTATTCGAAGGTCTAGTAGCCACCAATCGCTACTCTGGGATGGATACCATCTGTTTTTGTTGCATGACATCAAGTTGTCTCCAACTTACGGCCTTGTAAATGAACACCCTTCAACATGTCCTAGCCTTGTGGCTTCCTTTCTGGAATAAATCCCTCTCATATTAGGTCTTCCTCCTCTTCTGTCTTTGACTTTCCCTCATGGTATTGTCTTTTCCAGTGAGGCATGCCTTCTCATGATGTGTCAGAAGTACAGCAGCCCCAGATTCATGATTTTTTGCCTCCAGGGAAATTTCTGGCTTGATTTGATCTGAAATTCACTTGCTTGTTTTTCTCTTGGTCTAGGGCAGGGGTCAGCAACCTTTAACACTCAACAAGCCATTTGGACCCGTTTCCCACAGAAAGCACAGGGAGCCGCAAAACCCTTTTGACCTCTAAAATGAAAATAACACTGCATATGTCGTTTTTTACCTTTATGCTATGTATAGAAAAACTATAGTGTGCTGCATTTATGAAATCAATGAACTGCTACAGAGAAAACAAATTTTTATTTCTGAATGCAACATTATTTTGAACTCCGGAAAAAAAGACGCTGGGTTGAAGGTCACTTTCAAATAAAATACTCAATGTCTATTTGAGTCCTCCTTGTATTTAGGAAATAAAAAGCCGAACTTAAATTATCCACCTGCAGCAAAGCAAAAATGCTGTCTGCTTATGTGTGCCGTCATCCTTTTATCACGTGTACTGAAGGGTGCAGTCAGCTGTCAACCTGAATAAAAAAAGGATTATTTCACTGAACAATGTAAAATAGATATTTGCAAAATAATACCCAATTAAAGTATTTATTTTACCCAGTCAATGCGATTTTTGCTCCTGAACCTCAGCACACAGTGTCTGCACATCAGGGCTGTAAGATGTCACCATCTTCACACAGGATAGTAAGCTGTTGCCTGTGAGGCCTACCAGGGGAAAAAGTTCAGTAAATTGTGAGCAGCTCAATAAACCAGCATGCATAGCAGATTGGCGGCTGTGCTGGCGTGGGTCGCAGGTCGGAGGCTGTGACACATATTTTGAGCGACGGAGCCGCAGCAGAGGGATTCAAGAGCCACATGCAGCTCTAGAGCCACAGGTTGCTGACCCCTGGTTTAGGGTATTTCCAAAGCTCACTTCCAGCATCCATTTTCTTCTGTCAGCTTTCTTCACTGTCTAGGTTTCACAGCCATACAGTAAGAGGGAGTATAATAGTGTGGATGATCTTGGCCTTTGTCTCCAGTGGAACATACTTACACTTGATGATCTTCCTAAGTTCCTTCATTGCTATCCATCCAAGTCTCAGTCTTCTGCTAATTTCTTGGCTGCAGTTTCTTTTTGAATTGTTGACTAAGCCAAGGTATATGAAAGCTTTCCCAATTTCAATTTTTTAATTGTGGACATTAGTGTACTTCTGTAGTCATGATTTTGGTTTGATTAATAGTTGCAGTCCTAGTTTTACACTATCTTCTTTCACTTTCATCAGGAGTTGCTTCAGTTGTCTGCTGCTGCTTGTCTGTAAAGACTACTCATCAGGACAATAGCTTCTTACGATCCACACAGTGAAAAGTTTGGTTGCCATGTCTAAAGCATAGACTGATAAGTTATTTGGTATATACCAGTAACCAACATATACAGTTAGTCCCTGGGTTATGGATAAGTCCCATTCCTAAGACTGCCCTTAAGTTGAATTTGTAAGTCAGATCACAGGAGTAAGCCAAAAATATGTTGTAGTATATGTATATATTTCACTTTTCTATGCATATAAAACCCTTAAGAAACACTTCCATATTCATTAAAACATCTTAAACACAATGGAGCATTGTAATAATGATACTAATACAGTAACAATAAAGTAGCTACAGGTACTGAAGAGAGAGAGAACCCTAACCCTAGGGGGTGCATGGTAGCATTTCAGGGGGTGTGACAAAGAGGAAGGCTGTGTCACAATTCTCAAAATTGGCAAATCACATTTTCTGCCAAAAATCATCCCAGTAATAAAATTATTTATTATTTTATTTGCATTTGGATTCTGTTCTCTTTTCTCAATCAAGACAAATAAAGACAAAATCTAGGAATTGCCTGAATGCACAGGCAGACTTGCAGATTGGAATCAACAAGTACATTTCACATTTTGACAAAATTGTGAATTTGAAGCAGGAATTTACTTTTTTGTTTTTGTAATTGCTCAAATTATATTTGAATTTCATGCACTGAGTCAAAAGCTTATTTTTTGAGTTCAATTTGTTCACCCATAGTACTCTGTGTGGTTCAGTTTATGGTTCAAAAATTAGAAATTTGACAGATTCATCTTCAGAATTTCTGGGGGTTCACAGCATAGAAAAGTTTGGGAACCACTGATCTAACTGGAGCATAACAAACTGCTAAAAAAACTGACCACTCTCCCCCAACCAACATCCGATATGGTGACATCAATAGAGAAGTCCATAACCAATAAGTTGCTCGGAATTGCCTCCAAGACCAAATCTATTTGTAGATTGAAATAAGATGCCTACCACTGCCCGGTGCTCTTCTCCATAGGGTCAATATGAAGGTCCCAGGATCCACAACCTTTGACACTGGCTATGTAACCCTCATCAACCTTAAGAGTTCCTTGCACAAAATAAACATCCTGATGAAATTTTTAAAATAAAGCCAACATTTATTCCCTCTGGATTGAGTTTTTTTATTCCATTGATGTTCTATACAAGGATATTTAAAGATGCCATGAACGATCAGTAGAGGTTTTAGAAGATACAATAAACAAACACAAATGATTTACTGGTATAGTACATAAGTTAAAAATCCCTAAATTAACCATGAAACCCTTTTTAATTCAAGGTTAATTGAACTTTAAATTTCACCTATTGCTTCCTTCAATTTGAACAACAGTTTAGTTAAATATGGTTGTCTTGTACCTATAGAATCCTGTATCTACTGGTTCTGTTACAGCTTTTTCACTTTACTGTGGTTGACTGTGATCCAAAAGAGATGTCATGAAGTGCTTCCTTTAAATGAAAATTCTCTATTTAGTAGGGAAAAAGAAAAAAAATCATATGCTAAGGTTGCTAAGATGTATGATAGGAATTAATCTATCCATGAAATCGGGAAAAAGAAATGCGTATGTACAATGTATAGTGTTTTATATCAGCCATGGTTTCTTGGAGCTTATTCTCACAGATATGGGGGTCCTGCTGTATTTTGAAGTTGCAACGTTGGTCTATATTTAAATGATTCCTTCTGAGACTACATCAAAGAATCCACTACAAAGCATTCATACTGGTTGCCTCAGATTTGACTGTCTGCCTCATAGATGCACCATGTAAACCTTTGCTATCATGCATCACTATCCCTCTGTGACGTAGCTCGACTAAAAAGAGACAGGACAAAGGGTTGATGGGAGGTAGGGTGGTCAGGCAGTAAGGGAAGGGACTAAGGCAAACGTGGGAGATTAGAATCAAAGGGGAATGGAGAAGATGGGGCAGTCTGAAGGATCAGGGGAGGCTGCATGGAACCTAGGATCCTGAATCAAACCATCTGCAGTATGAAAGGCAGAACCGCTCTGTACCAGAGAGATTGCCTCCTCTTTATTTTGTTCTTCCATAGACCCATCTCCCATGTTCAGCAGGTCCTACACCTCCATACTGTCCATGACTACCTGAAGCCTCCACTCCAAATATTGGTATTTATTTAAGACCAAACAAGTTAAAACAACACCTTACTGCATGTGTACACACCTACTTCCTGGCTTATATAAGCCTCTTCTCACAGCAACAGACCTTTTATAGAGACATACCTAAACACCACAATTATTATGCCAGTATTCCCATGGGTATGACTGTCCTGTTCCTACCAGCACAGATTACAACCACAACAAATACTGGTCCAGTGCTAGTACAAACACTAGTATTTCAAGCACAACTAATCCTAGCACTGGCCCTTCTGCAGTATCAGAAAAACATTCAGGAGACATCTTTGATAGAGTACTTAATTTCACACCAATTTTTTGGCTGCCAAGGCCAATCAATCATGAGGGTACTACTGTACCCTACAGTTAAATGTGCTTTGATCCTGTGCATGCCAGCTAGGAAGCAAACCCTATTGAGTGCAGAGGGGACTTGCTCCCTGCTAAATCTGATACGGAAATGCCGCTGTACCATTTCAAAGGACATCCCAATTGCACCATTAAAGACCAACTTTATGTTCTGTTCACTGTGCGGCGGGGGTGGGCAGGTAAGCAAGGAGCCCCTCCCCATCAGCGGCAAGCAGCCAAAATTCCTCCTGTGTTGCAAGAACACGCAAGAAGGAAGCTGCTCCAGCAGTGCCCCGCCGGGCTTTCCTGGGATTTCTCCGCTTGCAGCGGGTGTCGTTTCCTCGGAAGAGCCTGAACTCCTTTGGCAGACAGTGAAGAGCCTCCTGGAGGGGGTTGCGATGCAAGGGGAGTACAGCAAGCCTGCCTGCCTTTAGCGACAAGAGAAGGGGAGAAGCCGTTCTTCTTCCCACCCAGCAATTCCGCCCCTCCTTATCCTCCACGCGGCCATATCAGGAGAGGCAGGGGGGACCCCGCTTCCAAAGAGCGGGCAGGCAGGAAAAAGCTGCGCGTCTTCCTCAGGCAGCCATTCCAGTTGTGTCAAGGAACACCAGGACTTCCGGGGCGGGAGGGAAGTGACGAAAAGTCTGGGGATATGCCATGTTGGAAGCGTCAGACGCAGAGTAGTGAATTTAACTGTCAGCCATATTGGTAGTGCCATGACGCGAGAGAGCCGCTTATATTGATCTGGAAAAATGTAGAGCTGTAGTTCCAGTTCTGCACACTGTAATGTGGGATTCCAGAAGGTCCCCTGGCTTCCCAACCCCAGCCCATTTCTCTGAAGTAGCCGGAAAGCCCTGCATATATTGGGTGGAAGAGCGCTGTCCCCAATATTAGAAACAGGTGGGAGGTGGAAATAAGGGCTGGACCATGCTTTAATGCTCTTACATAAAAAAACACAACAGTGAAGTGTGAGCTGTACGTACAGCCTGTGTGTAGGGAGCGATTTGTCTAACCAGTGGTGAACTGGGTGGGTTAAGGTTAGGGTCAAAAGTGCCCACTGTGAACTTGGAAGCATTCTGCCAACCTGCCCAGTGCGTCAGCGCATCTGCCGGATCCCTGGAAGGAGAGTCTGGGGAAGGCACGCAAAATCTGTCCAAAATGCTGATACTGTCCAGATAACTCACCGTCCAGATAATGACAGGCATGTGCGTGTTTGCTCATCTCTATCCATTTCCCCCATTTCCAGGGTATTCACTCTGCAATACAGAAAATACTCATCAAACTAGAAATATGTTACGTAAAGGTTCTTAATACTAAAAAAGGGATCAATCTCAAGGATCACTGATGAGAAAAAGGCTTGCTACGTACAACCTCCTTTCCCTAATGGATCCACCTTGCAAGCAGGTCAAAGGCATTTCCAGGGAGGAAAGGGGATGGGGGACCTCTAACCCCTCGGAGTGGAGTCCCCTTGCGTATTTCAAAAGAGAGACGGGATGGTCTATATGCGAAACTCTGCAGCTCTTCTCCACTCTAACAAGACCAGAAAATTGAATGCTGCATGTGCCAACCGGGAAGCTGGCATTCTGGCCTTGAAATGGGGCACATGCCACATAAATTCCTCCGGGAATGGCCCTGCACTGCCTCAACGGGCATCCTACCTGCGCCCATGAAAGCCGAGCCGCACGCCAGATTCCTGTTGCGGGGTGCGGGGGGGAGGAATGGAGGATCTCCGCCCCCATCCAAGGCAAGCTCACAAGCCATGGCACTTTGCACATACATGTGAGAGAAGGGCTTCTCCGGCAAGGCCCGCCTGGCCTCCCGGGGCCTCTCCGCTGGAGGCGGCATATCTGCCCGGACTTCCATGGAGGGGGCGGGGCTCCCTGCTTGGGGGTTGGGGGGGAGCGAGAGATGCGGGGGGCAGTGGAACCCCCCCTCCCCCATCTTCGCAGACTGGGGAGGAGCAGCCCTTCCCGCCCCACCGGCCCCACTTCCCTTCCCTTCCCTTCCCTCGGGCGGCCATGGCAGGAGAGGCAGGAAGGGCAGCAAGAAGCCTAACGTTGCCTTCAGGCAGCCATGCTGGGCATGAGAAGCCTGCGGCGCCTGCGGCGCGGAGAAGTAACGCGCTTTCGGTGCTCGCCATGTTGGTAGTGTCCGATCCGGAGAGGGGCCTTGCCCTTCAGCCATGTTGAGTGTCATGTCTCCCCACAGGCGCATATCCAGAGCTACGAAAGTGAAGAGCCGGATTGGATTGCGGCATTCCACAAAATGCCGCGGCAGGCCCAGCCCCAGCCCCAGCCCATTTTCCAGGAGTGGCGAAAGGCCTCTGTCGCCGATATTCCAAAAAGGAGGGGCGGCGGCAGCGTGCAGACCATGAGTGGGGAGGGCTTTGTGCCCTTCAGGAGGGCGGTGGGTCCTGAAGCGGGCCCTGTTCACGTGCGATTTGACCCGTGGGACCCTCATTTAGACTCCGGGTTTCTCCTTCTCGGCACAGCTAGCGCCCCGCTTACGGTTCCACGCAGCTCCTTCCTGGCGTTGGCCTCACGAATGACGGGACTACCAGCATCTCCCTGAAAGGTCAAAACATAAGAGGGGTGGTTAGCGTTGTCCAGTCGTCATCAGCACAGGCTGCGCAAAATCACAGGCTGGACAGCGGTGCAGCAGGATCAGGAAAGGCAAGGAAAATGAATCGCGGTGGAAGCCTACGCATGTTAAGCCACACGTGATTCCCCAGCCCGCTGCGGAACTGTGGGTGTTGTAGGCCCTCTTCCTGCCTGCACATGCGTGGGGCTGCGCCCAAGGCACTCTAGAGGATTCTGGCACAGCTGTTTCTTTATTTAGAGGGGTGACCTCCTTCTACCACCCGGGACATGGTGCACGGAAGGAGTGACAGCAGCTTCAGCAGGTGCACCAGGGAACCTATCCCCACCCAAGCCACTACTAAAAGGATGCTACGTCGGCAATGTCAACGGGAAAGGTTTAAGGGAGGTGTCGGGGGGTATCCGGCTCACACAGGCTGCGTCCGCAGAAAAAATTCTGCTGCCAAGGTCTTCGGCAGCAGCACATCAGACACGTACTTTGCGTGAATCGGTCTGCCGCTCCCCATCTCCAGCAGAGATCACGTCGTCGATCACTGATGCTCGTCGTTTCTCTGACGAACGCTCTGGGATATCAAGTGCACGTTCGTTGTCTTCGGGGACCTGGAGCAGTCAACCCCAGCTGCAGACAAGAGACGTGGCCTTGGTCTGAGACTCTTCTCAGGGACCTCTGATGCGGACCGTCTACCGCATGGGGGAAAACGGGGGAAGAACGGCGGCCTCTACCTCACCAAATGACTTGGTGCTCAACACTGCGCTCCTAAATTTCATGCAGATGGATTACCCCCATCAAAAAAGGATCCATGTCAACAAGATCGGTAAAACTGCATGCAGACTGAGAACCGAGGGGAAGGATTTTCTCAGGCGACTCTTGCCTGAGGCAGGCTTCAGGAGAACTACACTGCCACAGGCCCATCAAGCCGCCGTTTGCATGAAGAGAGAGATGGAAAATGGATGTACTCACTCCTACGATCTCTTCCATAGCCAGAACCTTCACACTGGAAATTATCTCTCAGCGATGATCCTCGCAATGGCAAACAGATGATTTTGACAGCGTTGGTCTCTTAGGCACGCTGGCCAAAGGAAGATCTGGACCATATGAAGGCGAAAAGTGCCATAAGGAGGGCATGTTAAGTACGCTTTGCAACATGGGCTCTGATCAAAACAAGAGCAGCTGTTTAGAACCGGCCATTCCAACTCTTTTTCAAGATAATGGCATGCATGTGCGTGTTTGCTCACCTCTATCCATTTTGCCCCTTCCCAGGGTTCCTCCCAAAAACAATCGAGACCTCCACAAAAGTGCAAGCCGCAAGGATTGCTCAGATTATTCACTCTCCAATACAGACAACAGCCTCCATACTAGAAGTGCGTTACGTATAAAAGTTCATAATACTAAGAAAGGGATCAATGTCAAGCGTTACTGGTGAGAAAAAAGCCTGCCACGTACAACCTCCTCTCCCCACTGGAGCCACCTTGGAAGCTGGTCAAAGGCATCTGCAGGGAGGAAAGGGGATGGGAGACCTCCTCCCCCCCGGGGGGGGGGTCGCATTTCCTA